TCAGCCTAAATTATTCTGATTCCATGATTCCTCATGTGCTGGAGGCAAGAATTGAGAGGGGAAATGCTCTCCACTCCCAGCAGACCCAAAAGAAACAACTGTGAGCAGCTGCTCCTTTGCAGGGTGAGTGCACGGCTTCGAGCACGGACCCTCGGTGCCCGCCAGCTCCAGGGACATGGCAGAGAGCACCCTGCCAGCACTTCCTCTGATGGACAGACCTTCCCTGCCCATCCAATTCTACCTTCCACCCGAGCAGGAGAGCTGCCACAAGCGTCCTTGCTCCTTCCTCCCACAGAGGGTTCCCAAGGGAGAAGGGAGCAGAGCAGCGGCACCGCTCACCCCCTCCCCGTGTCACTGGCACCTTCCCCCTGCCGCGTGGGGCTGACTGGCACATCCAAACCCAAGCCACTTCCTCAACAGCTCACTGCCAAGTGGTGGGAGCAGGGAAGTGAGGGGAGGGAGCACAGAGAAAGGGGGCAGGAGCACCAACGCTGCTGTGACTTCGTGCCGGATGCACGCTCCGAAAGAGGCAGACTCGCGTCTATTTTAGATGTGCTGCATAAAAATAAAAGATGCTGGTTGACTGCACATGTTCTCATTTTTAGAAAACAAGCTCCAATTTATTTCTTCTATTACAGCCAGATGGTTAAAAAAAAAAAACAAACCAAAAAAAACACCTCCCTTCAATGTCACCTCAATGAAAAGAAGCCCTGACCTGGTTTCAACCTCCCCGGACCAGAGCACGGTGCAGGAACCATACTGTGAACACCTCTCTCAGGGGGCCCTGACCCACTCACAGCCTGACCCAAAACCCTCCAGGGCAAGCAGAGATCTGGACCTCAGGTCCTGCCCAGAGGGCCACCAGCACTGACTGTCACAGGGTGACTCAGGGTTATAAACATTACAGCTGGCACAACTGGACTGACCACGTCTCTGCTCTATGTCTCAGTGCCTTCCCTGCTTCTCCTTTCCTATTAACTTGTTCTAAGCTGCCTCGAGGGGTCTTTTTCCCTTTTAAAACTCACATCCAGTTATTTAATTGAAAGAGCAACACAACTTGATATGAAAGTAAATGCTGATTTTAGGCTTTCCCTATTTATCCTCCCCCCATTCAAAGCCATGCCACAATATCCCATAGAACTCCATTTCCATAGATCTGCTTGCCAGTGCTCACGAGGAAGAAGGCTTTCATTTCAAAGCACAGTTTGTATCCATCTCTGGCCTCTGTCAGGCATCCCCAAAGGTGGTGCCCTGCCAAGTCCAGGTGCACCACGATTCAGTGGACACAGGGAATCAGTGGCAGAGCACCTGGGATACACCAGGATCTCCACCATGAAGATGCTCAGGGCAAAAAGGGAAATGGGATCAGGCTCTCAGGAGAGGTTGTGCCTGCTCCATCCTTGAGAGGTTTTCAAGCTCTGCCTGGAGAAGAGCCCTGAGGAGCCTGGTTTGGTCCCAGAGCTGATCCTGCTTTGGGAGGACCCCACACATCCCTTCCCTCCCATCTGACACGGTAACCCCAAGCTCAGGGAAACTGTCCAAACAATTCCCAAATGCCCTGGCCCAGCCATGCCTGGCAGAGAGGACATAAGGCAGAGAGGACACAACCTCCATATCCAGGGCAGATAAGCCACTGCCTTGAAGCCTCCTCAGAGTCTATGGAATGGCAGGAACTGAGAAGCAGTTCCAGGGAACACCTTTAAACAATGACTCTTTTCCATGGCCAGCAGGACAAGGCGGGGAGAGGCAGAACAAGCACAAAGCAACTGGAGGCATCTTCTCTAAACTGCAGTCACAAGTCTTTGGCTATCTTTTGGTACCAGCACATTTAAAAGAAAATAAGGAGCCTCTTAAACCTTGTTCCAAGCTACTTTTTGGAGGATGGCCATGGCTCATTACAGACACAGCAGGCAAAGAACACCTGGTTTGTGCTAGTCCAACCCCAGCTCCTGTGAGCCTATTCCTGAATGTCTGCAGCAGCAGCAACCCTGACAGACAAGAGCCGCAGCCATGGGTTACATCTTCACCTCTGGAACGGCTGCATTAGGGTCCCACCTGAGCCTCCAGCCTCTAATGCCACTGCTATGTGACCTTACCTTCTTTCTTGAACAAATGTGAGACTGAAGGCTCGGGGATCCATCATTTCTCTGAGTGGTCCCCAAGACTGAGAGTTCATACTCAGATTAACTTCTTAAGCAAGCTCAAGGGCAGAGACCTGGTCCCTTTTACTGGCAAAAGCCCCACATTCTGAAAATCGTAACAGCTCCAGAACTGCTGATTACTTTTCCTCATTTGTGCTTTTTATTTTTTTTTTTAAAGTCCTGCCTGTTCCTCCTACTTCTTATGAGGCTTTTCAGTATTTGTCTGTTACTTGAATGCTAAAGCCTGATTTAGGATTAAACACAACATTTGGGAGGTGGACTCCAATGCTGCCTGCTGTCACTGTTCCAACTCTAAGAAGCTCGGAGAGATATCAGGGCAGATCCTGCTCTGCATAAGTCTGTGTGACCAAAGCTATTTTCCCTTTATTCTATTCCCCACACACACGCACAGACACGATTAATACACAGGGTTTGGGATGGAAAGTGGTGGAGAGGTATTAAAGTGTCAATAAATAGGCAGGGAGAACAAAAATACACAGCAGAGTAACAGAACAGCTCAGTTCCACGGGCTGCACTGATTGCCCAAAAGCAGAAGTGGGGCATCGTGTGCTGAAGCACGTTGAGAACGCTGGGCTTGGTCACTTGGAGAAATGGCTTTTCTAACGTGGCCCACTTCCCCTGCTGCAGATAAGGGAACTCCTGGAGCCAAAGAGCCACGTTCCGCATTTGGGGGTTCTGCAGAACCCAGCTGAGCTCCCCTGGGCTGAGCCAGGCCAGCACAGAGGGCCTGAGCATCCAGCTCCTCTCCCATCCCAGTAACACACCAAACTCAGAGCTTTCTATGTCCTCCAAGTCCTGGACAGACCCCTGAGAAAGCAGAATAAAAAGCACAGAAAAGCTCAGGTCTCCTGCACTGTCCCCATCCTGCAGCAGGGGTGACTCTGGTCCTTACAGCAGGTGTCCCCTGGGACATCAGGACACAAGTGGAGAAGCTCTAAAAGCCACAGCAAAGCAGCACAACCCCAGAGCTGGCAAGGAGAGGTTAAACCATCTGTTCCTGGGCTTTGGGAATGAAGTGCTCTGATGGGACTACAAGAGAGCTAAACAGGCTCCAAGACACCTCCTTCCTCCTCAGACCTCTCCAAAAATGACCACATCAGGGCTGCCACATCCTGCCTACCTCTCCCAGCAACCTGGCTCCCAAAACACAGCTGGCCAAAAGACCACAGTTTTATTTTCTGGCCATTTTGGCTCCCTGAACTTGCTCACTGTGCACTGAGCAAAGCCCCGGTGCTGCTGCAGGGAGGGGAGAGGGAACACATGGCCCTGATTAGAAGGACAGCCCAGGCTCTCAGAGCCACATCTCCACCACTGGGCAGGGAAGCACAGGAGGGAACTGGGGCTGGAGTGGGGGTAACCAGGTACACAACACACAGGTTACACTCTGGATCAGTACCTTGGGCTGATCCACAACCACCAGCCCCTGCAGGTGTTTCAAGCTAGAAGTGCTCAAGGCTTGCTCTTACAAAACCCACATGAGCACAAAAACATCACAAACGGTATCTCCCTCCCAAAACTGAAAAAAAGAAAAGGGATTAACTTCTATACTTGCCATGGAAGAAGCCCTTGGCTTCAGGACAGCAGCCCCTCTGGCACGAGTCAGTATTTGATACAATAGAGTGGGAGAGAAGGGAAGTGGAAACCTCTCCCATCTCTCTGTTATTTTGCCTTAAATGCACTGTAGTTTATGTCCTCAATAAAAGCCTGTGCATATCTTTCCAACTTAAATGTGGATTGCAACCTTGGGATTACTGCCCTGGCAGAATTAACGCATTAGACATAAAAACCATAATGTTTCATTATCCATCGTAAAGCATGTGTGCTTTCCCCCTGGGGAGACTGGAAATATCACCCAATTTCACTATCATTTTCTGTTAACTGACTGTCCTGCCACATGTTCACACACTGGCACCCTCACTTTGATGATATAGCAGTCCTCTGGTTTCATTCTTCTTCCTTTATGATGCTGACATTTTTATAAATCATGTTTTTCTCTTCTGTTTTTGTGTCTGTGAAGGCACCACACTACGGAACCACTCGGCTGGAAAATAAAACTTACCCTGGAACAAAAAAACAGCTCATATTTGTCTAGCTGGAAACATACCATAACCTGATGTCTGAAACAAGGGTAGAAGGCAACAGAGAGGCAAGAAAACCTCAAACACAACAGGCAAGCGAACTCGGACTCATTTATGGGCACAGTGGGGTCTGTGGTCAATAGTGAGGCACTGAAGAACAGAATCTCTTCCCTCTGCAGTTCAAATTCCCTGTATTCCTCCCTCTCACTGTTAGGCTGGCTGCAAATTCAAAGATTTGCATAAGCCACAGATTTTGTCTGTCTCTTTGAAAGGTCAAAACCAAGGAGCAGCACAACCCCAGAGAAGACAAATGGGCCAGCTGGCAGCAATTTGGAGTGACCACCACACAGAGGAAGTGTGGGGAGGAACAGGGGCCTCCCCACTGTTTTAAAGAGGAGCCTTTAAAAGCCCGGGTCACCCTTATATTGCAACTTAGAGGCTGCCTCAGGGAATCTTTTTATTTAATCAGTTTTGTATCTTCGCACAGATTAGTGACCAACTGTCCCAATTTAGTGCTGCCACGTTTCTACAAACATTCCTGGCCATGATTGCTTGGAAAAATCATGCAGCTACTGACAGTCTCTCATAGAAACATTTCACTCTGCATCTCCAAGAGGCCTTATAACATTTTTATTGCCAAGAGAGCCCTTGTTCTGCTCTGCAGGGCGGGGAGGGGAAGGGGAGGCGAGCAGAGCAGGAGGAGGGTGAGCAGGAGCTGCAAACACACACCCTCACCAAATCCACCCCAGTCCTTACTCACATGAGGGTGGCACAGCAGTAAACAGGACCAAAGGGAAACATTGGTTGTCCCACGTAGCTCCTGGAATGCAAAAGGAAGATTAAAAGGTCAGCTTGGAGCATCCAGATGCACAGAGCTGCAGTTCAGCTGCCTGACCCCCCCAAACACACCTCGGCCAAAGCAAGGCAGCCAGACTGTTCTCACTGACACCACCTCCACCTGCTAGGGCAGGGGGGAAAGAACTCAAATCCCCATTGCTTCTCACTGTTAGCTGCTGTTTGTATCTTGCCAAAGCCACAGAAGCCAATTAAGGTGCTTTCCCTTGGGTCTGCGGTCAGTCAGCTCCAGACACCGAGGGCTGCAGGCAGCATTTACTTGTTCTAAAGCAACTCTTTCCACGGGCCCAGGGTTCAGCTAATTGTACCACACTGCTGTTGATCTGCAGTTCTACAGAAAGCTTGGCTCCCAGTTGAATGTTCTCAGCAAAATTATGCTCGAGGTTACTGTGGATCTCACAGAACAATAACCTGGGAGCACTGGCAGAGGTTTCAGGTAGCAAAACAGAACGTATTTAAAAAATAAATCTCTAGAATGCCTGCACAATGAAAGCAGTAAAAGGTCACTTATCCCCAGCAAATATCATCCCCACATGCTGCTCTGAGATTGGAAACATGAGTGGATTGACAACTCCTGAGCACCATCCAGCAGAGATTTCCTACGGCTCTTCTCCCTGACCAGTGCTTCCCATCACCTCAGGACACGGGTTCGTGGCAGGCAGAGCTTGCTGACGGCTCCTGATGGAAAATGGTTGTTCCCCCACACCAGGAGAGTGGGAAGAGCAGAGCATCCCGTGGCCAGCCCACCACCCCGAGCCCTCCAGAGCACTAGCAGCTCCGAGGGCTGGGGATGATGTAACACCATCAGACATCTGCCAAATAAATAAGCGAGTTCCAACATGCCTTGCTCCAAACCTGCACAGCAATTTCCATTCCAGAGCAGGAACTTGTGCTGGGGTTTAATACTCTCTCCAATATATCCCTCTCCACAAAGAAAATCTGTGCCCACTGCTCCAGGAACACACGTAATCCTTGTAAGCAGATGTCAGCCTCCAAAGCTGAGAAAATGACTTTGTTCTTGGGGATCAGGGAATTTAAAATTCAAGAAGTTGGAATGTCCTGATGAATTTGGTAACTGAAACCCCGGGAGGAAACACCTGCTCTCTGAACAGCCGCCGCTGTTTTATCCATCCATAATTCCATGGGAATGGTCTTCTGCTCTTTGACAATCCAGCAGCCAGAGAGCTGGGAAAGAGAGGAGGGAGCTGCCAGGAGCCAGCAGCCCCAGTCCCACAGCACTGCCCCACACAGCAGCTCTCAGACAGAGGCTTCCAAGCTGCTGCTGCTCCACGAGGACCCACCAAAGCCAACACCCTCCAGTCACCTCCCCTGGAGGGACACCCCTTCACCCCAGCTATCATTTGGGGTCACAGCTACACCTCCCCTCTCCCAGCAAACCACACACAAACAGCAGCATTTCCCAGGTTTCTACAGCAGGTAAAGTACAGCTCTGGGGTCTCACAGGGAAGAAGAGACACAGCCAGAAAGAAAGGGATTTTCATCAAAAAGTCAACAACAATTGGATGTAACCATTATCTCAGAGAGCTGCTTGGTAGAGACCCACAGGATAAAGCCCTGGATGGAAGAAAGGCCCATAAAACCTGGTTAATACCCAAGGATCACCTCCTCCAAGCAGGAAGGCAGGTAAGAACTCCAGGAGAGCTGTGTGGACCAACAAGGAGCTCCTGGAAAAACTCAAACATAAAAATGATGCTGGGAAAGAGATTGTCCCAGCAGCCAGGTTGGACAGGGCTTGGTGCTAAAGTACGGAAGGTTGGAATGAGACGGGATTTAAGGTCCCTCCCAACCCCAACCCAGCCCTTTCTGTTTCCTGTGCTGGCTGCTGCTTTGCCTCAGCAGAGCTGTGTGTTCAGGAAAGGGAACAGACGGGAGCTCAGCTGGACGCAGGGTGTCCCACACACCTCTTGGAGCCAGGAGGGCTTGGCACACAAGGGACTGGGTCTGCAGGGAGCTCAGGGCAGGCAGCAGCAGATTAGCAACACTTCTGGGAAATTTTATCCTGCCAAGGATATGGAGATCAGCCTGGAAGTCATAATTCCTGCTGGCCTGAGTCCTAATGATGGGCAGAGCTGTCGCTGCGGCGTGATGAAATCTGCGCTGACACCCAGGGCCGGGCCGGGCGCTTCCCCTTCCCACCACCCCCAGAGGGGTGTGGAGAGCCCCACGGAGAGGCTGTGCTGGCCCAGAGCTGGGCTTGGGCTGCAGCAGCTCCACAGAGCCTCCAGCACCACGTGCTCAGCACAGACAGGCTCTGCCACGATGCTCGCACCCAACACGTGGGTACCCGAGTTCTCCTCCCAGCCCAAAACAATCCTCCTCCCAGCCCTTGCCCCATCTCAAGTGCCTGGCCCCAAGCAGCTCGAGGCATTTCCCTCCCTTGCCTGGCTGGGGCTGGAGAGCACAAGCGATGGGCACACAGCTCAAGAGCAAGTCCCCAGGAGAAGCAGATCCCAGGCTGCCCAAACTGAGAGAAGCAAACATCCCTCCCCATCCTCGAGTCCCTCCTGGGGCAAAACCAGGGTGAGGGCAGCCCACTGCCACCAGCACTGCCAGGAATCAGCCCTGCTGCAGGTGAGGCAGGAGCTGTCCTGCAATTAACACTACATCAGAGCCCTCACAGGGAAAGAGAGCAAGTCCAGATTAGGCAGACAAGCTCAGCTCTGACAGCTCCTAAGCTTAGCTTAAAACTGCACTTTAATAATAGGTGTTTAACACAGCTCTTGAGATGTGCAGTTTTTAATGCACCTCTTGAAAGGTGAGCAGAAAAATGAAAATGTTGCTAAAAAACCTCCTTTTTCCCATGTTAACTAATGGAAGTTCAGCTAGAAGATCTACAAAGTGGTTTTATTTAGTGTAAGGAAAACCTGTGATACCCGACTACCCTCAGGTCAGAGCACTGATGTTTTCTCCCCCCCAGGAGCTCCAGCCTTCTCAGGGATCTGTTTTGTTTTATCTACAAAAGCCTTTTCTTCCCTTTTGCTCTTCTGGAAGCTGGCAGAGAAACCCCAGCATTCCCAACAACTGCTGCAAATCCCCAGTTCTTTTCCTGATTTAAGCATGGCTACAAGAGCCCGCTATCATCAGCCAGTGCTTATCCCAGAAAACATGTAACTCCAATTCAACAATCCTATTACATATGCTCCCAGCATTTGTACAGGAGAGATTTAGCTCTCAGCTCTCCATTGCTTTATCTCTTTCTGGGTTTGCCAGGGCAGAAATTATCCCGGGCTATAAACCGGTCACATCCAAATGCTTCTCCTATCTTTGCTGCAAATCTGGGGGAAAGCTCACGTAGCTGCTGTGCACTGTCCGGCTCCCCCGTGGCCAGCAGCCCCTCTGGAGTGCCATGGGAGGAGCTAGCAGTCCCATCTCCCCTCCAAGGCACTGCCAAAACCACAGCCTGCCCCAGCAAGGGCTCCCTCCAGGAGGGCAGGGAGGGGGAACCCCTGCCACGCTCCCAAGGACCAAGGTGGCTTCAGAGGCGACAGGTCTGACCAGAGCAGAGATGCAAAACACAACAGCAGAAGACAAGAAGCATGGACACGGATGGAAAACCTCACACTCTGTCTCAGTGGCTTGCCCTAGAGCCTGTAGCTGGGGTAGGAGGGTAGATCCACCCCAAACTGCCTCACTGCTGGCAGGACTCATCCCATCCTGCTCTCTTCTGCCTCTGATCCCCCAGATTCCACAGGCCAGGTGCCCCTGGCCCTTCCTGTGCCCTGTTCCATCTCCCTGCTTTTGTCAGCAAACTGAGCCACCACCGAGCCATCCCCGTGTCTCAGCAACACACCCACCTCTTGCATAAAGAAATAAAATAAAATAGAGCTAAACCACTTCTGCCTCATTTATTCCAGGAGCATTGTTCCCACAGGCCTGTATCCACGAGATCCGTGTGCAGCTCCTGAATCACCATCTCCTCCATCTAACACTGACACCCAGTTTTAAGGCTGTTTTCCCATCCACCTGCCAGCTACCTCTTCCCTGTGGTACCTCCCCTGTGCTCTTGCCCAACACCTGTCTCTTACCTCACAGCACACCTCCGACACACTCTTGTCAGCTCATGGCTTAGTCACTGCTGGCAAGTCCAAACCCCGGCTGTCTTTGCCAGCACGACACTTCTGTCTCCGTGAGAACATCAGCCCAGCTTCCTGGATCCCTGCTCCCACAAAGTCTGGGACAGCCCATGGAGCAGGCAGAGCTCTCGAGAAACAGCTGCCAGGCCAGCAGTGGCACTTCCAGAGGCTTTGGGCTCCACTTGAGGAGCACCAACTGGGATGGACGTGGACAGGAAAGGAAGGATTAGGATAAATGGTTCTGCAGATGTGTCAGGAATAAATCAAACTGCTCAAACCCACAGTAACTCAGTTCTGGAGCATTAAAAAGTAATTTCAAAAAAATGAAATCAGCCTGATGTACTCAAGGATGTAATTTATTTATTTCTTTCCTGGAAAACACACCAAGGGAAATGGGGAGCAGGTCACAGGCAGCTCCAGCCATGCTCCACCAGCACCCCTAAAGCTGCTCACGAGAGTTTCTCCTCTTTTCCCCTCTAAGGCCACCTCACCCTGGGAGCACAGCATCCAACCCCCCCAAGGAGCCATTCCCAGTAACAAAGCTGGGGTTTCTCAGCCTGGGAATGATCCCTCCCAGCTGTTTCCTCTGGAAAACATCTTCTCCCCACCCTTGCAGCACCCTGAGCTCCTCTAGCTGTGCTGTTTGGCTCTGCCCCCGTGGTCAGACCCCGAGGTGCGGCTGCTGCAGCCCCTCACCCCTGACCCACCACTTCCAACATCATCCAACATCCGTTTCTCCTCCTCCTGCCTCCCTCTCTCCCATCTGGCCTTTCCCACCAGCCAACAAGCCCAGCCTTTGTCTTCCCCTCCAGGCAGCTCTGATCCCCGTGCCCTCTCCCCACCCTGCTCCCCCCACTGCACTGTGGCATCC